TTGGCTAATAAGGGGTTAATAAGCTCAAATAAACAGTAACATTATAGAACAAATGCTACTTTTCAGGATGAGAGGATTTCAAGCCATCAATAATTTCTTAGGTGATTTAGTGAGATGTTATTACACTTTCTAAGTCATGATTTAGGAGTTAACATTTTTATGGCTTATTTTAAACATGGGTAAAAGTAATGATGTCTTACATGATGTATTAACCTAGGTGACGAGTCCTCACTTGAAAACTATATATCTGAAATTGCTTTTTGCTGAATTATTGTTTGCATTTTTCTGAATGTTTGATGCCGATCCAGGTCTGTACATTTGGAAATATACTTTGTGGGAAATAGAATCTAGAATCTATAAAGATGTTGAGACAATAGAGTGCAGAGAAGTGCAACGAAGTTGATTAGGGGACTGGAGGCTAAAACTTATAAAGAACGGTTGCTGGAACTGGGCATGGCTAGTCTAATGAAGAAAAGGATCAGAGGTAACATGATAGCAGTGTTCCAGTATTTGGGGGGCTGTCACAGAGGAGGTGGGTCAACCTATTTTCCAAATCACCTGAAGATCAGAAAAGGAATAATGGATGGAAACTGATCAAGGAGACATTCAAACTAGAAATAAGGAGAAATTTTCTAACGCTGAGAACAATCAACCCATGGAACAGCTTGCCTTCAGAAGTTGTGGGAGCTTCATCACTGGACAGCCATCTGTCAGAAATGGTATGGGGTCTCCTGCTTGAGCAGGGGGTTGGACTAGATGACCTGCAAGGTACCTTCCAACTCTGTTATTCTACTATTCTATTCTATACAAAAAGGGTCACAGAGGTCTAATTAGGCGAATTGGCAGAAATTAGACTGGGAAGCAATATGCTATAGATTCATGGTAATACATTCATGTGGAAAACTGATTTCCACAGAGGTGCACGAAAAAGGTTTATATATCTCTACCACAGAAAGCCAGTTTGGTGTAGTGTTTAAGGCATCAGGCTAGAAACTGGGAGACAGTGAATTCTAGTTCTGCTTTAAGCACAAAACCAGCTGGGTAGCCTTGGGCTAGTCACTTTCTCTCAACCTAGAAAGGTGGCAACAGCAAACCACTTCCAAAATACCTTACCAAGAAAACTGGAGAGATTTATCCAGGCACCCTCCAACAATCGGACATGTTTAAATGGAAGGGGAAAAAATCTCTAACACAGCCTTGAGAAAAGCTTGAATATAGTTTTTAGAAGCGTTGTAAGTGTAACATGTTTCTCCCTCCCCCCCCTATTTGGATTAAAGCACTTTTACTGCCAGTTGAACTCTTCATAGCCTTAGTTGGAAGAGAAAAAAAATGAAGTATGCAGATAGAATTATCATGGCTTTGTTTTTGTTTGCCCCGGGTCATTACGTTCGTTGGGTTGTTTAGTAACAAGGGTGGTATTTGTTTTTGAATTCCTGCACTACAGCGCAATGAAGTTGCTCCTAATGTGACTGTCAGATGAGACTTGAAACCAAGCCTTTCCATTCTGGATATGTGGTGCAACTTTCCCGGATTTATCCTTTTCATATTGTAGGGATATATGTTTGATCGCTGTGACGCAATGAACAGCTTTATGGAGTTGAGCAAACGTTGTTGCCACCGCTGGTCAGCTGCTGTTCAGCCTGACCTAGCAGGTACAGAGTGAGAGCCTGGTTTGAGCTAGTGCATCTCCCCCAGTGCCTAACTAGAATGGCCCTGGAAGAAGGTGCCCAGGAACACGGAGGGGGCATGCTTTCACTAGCACCCCACTAGTCCCTCTGAAGATCCCGCTGCCAGGGCTCACCTGTCAGCATCCCAGCAAAATGGTCAGTGGAGCATGTCAGACTGAATCCACGAGGGAGAAATGGAATAGGCAGGGAAAGCTCTATATCAGGGATGTCAAACTGGATTTCATTGAGGGCTGCAACAGGGTTGTGTTTGATCTTGGGGAGCCAGGGTGGGCATGGCCAGCATGATGTCACTCATGTCAAGGGGGGCTGTGGTGGCCCAAGTGCTCTGCCAACGAAAGCAGGCTCCCGAGCTCCGTTTTTGGCTGGGATGGCCTCCTGCAACCCTCTGCCAGTGAAAACGGAGCTCGAGCGAGCCGCACCCGGCCCTCCCGAGCTCTGTTTTCACTGTCAGAAGCACTGTGGGCCGGTCCTTCGCTATTTCCAGGGTGGCCCCGTGGGCTCGATCTAAGCACCCCGCGGGCCGGATCCAGCCCCCGGGCCTTGAGTTTGTTTCACAGCCCTGCTCTATATTAATGCTAAGGATGCTTTAAAATGTGTTTTAACTTTAAACAACTTTTAAAATGAATAGTCTGTACATCTTAAAGTTGCCAAGTTGGAGAAACACTGATTTAAAGCAACCTCAGGTATGGACTGGAAGTCAGAGGGAGGCAGGAAATGAAGTTATCAGGTCCTGGTGGTACCCAGGGCAAGGTTCCAAATCCTGCCGCTACCAGTTCGCATGCGTAGTAGCGGGTGGGTGGAGCTTCCTGCCGTCGCTACAGGTTTACCCGATCCAGTGCGAACCGGTAGCAACCCACCACTGGTGGTACTACAGTTAGATGAAAGTGAGGAAAGGTTCTCACAGTAATGCCCAATTTTTCTACTTTGTGAAACTCTGGGAGGCTAGAAATGCTTAGAAAAGGAACAAGAGGCTTTACTATAAATAAAGGAGTCAAAGGGCCAAGGTGAACCAAGATTCCTGAGAATGGCTAGTAGTCATCCATACATCACGAGTCAAGTAAAAAAACTGCTGTTGGAGTTATTCTGGCAAGCTCTTTGACCTTCTGGACTTCCTTTTCATTTTCTGTATATTAGGAAGAAATAGGAAAATGAGTTATGATAAGATCCGGTGCTTCCTAAAGCATGTTGCTCAATCTTGTCATCTTAGAAAACTGTGCAATACTGTAAACAGATGATGCAACAGACAAATATTGTTCAGTCACATAAAACGGTTGCCAAGTGGTTCCTGGCAGAATTATGGCTAAAATATTCAAACTAAGAGCTAATGTTTTTATTTCAGAATAATCCCATGGGACACCCCAGCTGGGTGTATCTATACTTCCTATAGAAATGTAGAAACAGGTATACCCTCCTTCCCTTCAAACATAATATTAAACCTACTTATATTAAATAATTCTGCTGGATAAAATCAATCCTTGGGTAAAACTGGTCCTTCAAGGTCCCAGCACAGAAACTTCCTGCTCTGTGCTTTAATGGTAGCTCTTTGAGCCAGAAGGTCAGGCAAACTCTGCTGTTGATATAGTTTTTTTCTGATTGAAATGTACTCTTTATCTTGGGCATCATGAGTCGTTGTTTATAACTATTGTTTTAATTCATATATGCTGCCCAGAGTAACTTTTGTGAGATGAGTAGCCATATTAAATAAATAAATGAATGTTCATTCTAGTGGTGATCCCTTTGTGTGTGCTCTCTTGCTAAGATGTGATCCAGAATGATAAACTTTTTTGTAGCCTATTGGGATTACCAGATTATGACAATTTTTTTCTTCCTTAAATAGTTTATTTATTTATTTTATCTTTCATGCAAAAGAAGGATGGTTCTGCTCCTTAGAATCTGCTCGTAAAGGAGCTGCATCTTTTTTTTTTAATGGTCCAAAGTACTTCTTGAAGCACTACAACTCTAATAAGCATACGTGTTCTCCAAAAAGCAAAACAATGATGAGGTGGGGGTTGGCTTTATTTTGAAACCCTCAAGTCTTCCAGTCATACAATTTGGGGAAGGAGGAGGACACAAGTTCTAATCCTTTATCCCAAAGGTGTTTTTTTTTTTTTTTCAAGAGGTAACTGGACTTTCTGGTTTTTTCTTTGAAGACGCTCTGAGCTGAAGAAGCTTCTTGGATGAGAAGCAAAACGTCTTCAAAGAAAAAAACCAGAAAGTCCAGTTGCCTCTTGAAAAAAAAAAAAAAAAGCACCTTTGGGACAACCCAAGACCTGGATGACTGAGAATCTCCATAGACATTCTTGTCTTTTAGACTGTTCATCACATATATAAGAACCAACTAAGAAGGAGAGCCGCTGGGTTCTATCAAGAGCGGAGGCAGAATCTATTCTAAGGCAAAAGCCATGCATTGTATCATCATGTTGACTTAGCAGCTATAGGGAGAAGTCCATATTTTCATGAGATCGCAATCTGAATATTGAAGTCTCAGAACTCTGGGGCTAAAGCTGTTGGCAGAGCAATGACAGATTGTTTTATATTCATTCCCTTAACGTCTACCTCGTTAAGTACATTGAACTGGTGTACTCTTGGCCGACCTCGTTCTTTTTTCATTAACATGCACATTAAAGTTTCATGCCAAGAAAACTGGCAGTAAGTTTGACTAACAAGCCCTGCTCTGTTCCCAACCAGTCAAGCCTTTGAGCAATAACATCAAAGCAAGAATCAAAACTTAATCAGAACACTAACAGTAAAAAAATAACATACACAGTGCTGCCTATGATCATCATAAAAGATTGGATTGTTTTGATCCATGCATACACAAGATAAATACTCAGTCTGGTTATCTTGTGAAATGCAGGAAAAGTGGGTTTAACATTTCTCTACTGGAAACGTGTTTCAAAATTTGGGAGGCTACTACAAGGAAGGAAACCCCAGATTTTCACAGCCCTAACAAGAAACAAGAACTATTCCCCATTGTCTTGGGGTCTGTAGCGCTCCAGCCTTTACTCAGAATAAAGAGAGAAGATCTATTACCCTATAAATATTGTTGACTCCCATCATCCTTCACCACTAAATAAATTGTCTATGGCAGATGGGAGGATGGCTTTAGGTTCCCCATCCTAATTCTAAATAAAGATCAGATGCACCCTGTCTTATATTTTTTTAAACACTGAAATAAGCGCTTGGCCTTATTGCCATGCGCTCAAAAACCAGATTGGGCTTATTTTAGAGGAAACAGGGTAGTGATGTGTCAAATGCAATGTCTCCTATGCTTACTCATTCTTTCTCCTCTCACCTTATCTTGACTTCCAGAGCAGTTGGTGCTTGGAGCCTCCAAGGAACTATCTCGGCACTGGGATAAGGACTACGATTCCTTTGTGCTTCCTCTGCTAGATGAACTGCAGCCATGCTACATCCTTTATCGCCTGGATACCCAAAACGCACAGGGCTATGAGTGGCTTTTCATCTCCTGGTCACCTGACAACTCTCCTGTAAGCTTTCAACTTATTCCTATTCACAGAATACAGGTTACTAACATCCGGTTCTTGCTAGTTAGTTTAGTTGGTAAACTGAAGAATAAAACGTATGCAAAGTGCTCTTCAGAAGCATTGAGGTTGCTCTACTTCCCTTTTCCACTCCAAAACCGCTAATGGTTGGTGGTTGCAGGTGCCTTATATCTGTTTAATCTATAGCTCCTTCACTGCCAGCCAGGAACTTTCCAGGTGTCCATGATTCTCATAATCTCTAGTCAGCATAGAGTTTGATCATGGTAAACGTGTATGCAAAGCTGCTTGGTTTAGAAGCAGTTGTTACAAATGTGGATCAGGTATTTCTCATTCAACGCAGACTCCTTCAAAATGGAAGAGTTTGGTGCTCAACAGATCATTGGGAACTCAGAACTTCTCCCAGATGATTGAAGCAGATTGTTTCTGATGTGATACAGCTGTTCTAAGGGAGCGAAGGGCTAGTGGTCATGAGAGGATTAACGACCAGATCCTATAGATCGAGTCAGACAGTTGAGAAGCTCCTCCTCCTGCTGCTGCTTCCCAGCTTTCTGATTTGATCTGCTCCTATTCAGATGCACCCTGCCATTGCTCTATTCTGGCCTTTATTCCTAATAAAAAAAAAATCGAATTAGACTAATTGGATTTTCCTCAAATTATAGAAAATTTACAAACAATTGTTGAGACTTGCTCTGTGAGGTGCATCAGCGGAAAGGGCTTCAGCCCGAGACACTAGGACCGTTTTCGGTCGAGGGAATTGAGGCTCCCTTGGTTTTTACCCAATCTTACTAGCTGATTCTGAAAATTAAAGTCCAACATACAATACCTAGAAGTCACTAAATTGGTAAAGACTACATTATTTGTTTATTGGATTTCAAGGGCACCCAATTTCTAATAACTATGGGTGGCTCCACAAAATTAAAAGAACTCCACAAAAACAATATCCATAAAACAATAACTTTTCAAACAACTCTTCTAGATCGGGGGTAAAGGGGCAATTGCAGTCATCTTAACTGAAGGCTTGGGAGAAGAGCCAGTTTTTAGAGAACAGTTGAAGATGAGCAAGCGGGGAGGCCATGCAAATCTTCGGGAGATAATTTTTACAAAAGGCAAGTGCAGTGACAGAAAAGGCCCACTAGGTGACATTGATGGGACCTGAAGCAAGCCAAGTCCACTGGAGGGCACAGGGAAAGCAGATTTTTCAGGACACAGTTGCTTCCTCAAATACTGGTATCTAGGCTTTATGCTTGAATTGCATCTGAAGGCAGCTGGTAACCAGTGCAGCTTACATAGCAGGGGTCCTATATTTCCATTATTGTCAATCTACATTCTGGATCAGCAGTAACTTCTGAGAGGTGTTCACATGCAGCCCAGGGGTGGGTTCTACTTATCTTGACTACCTGTTCGCAATGGGGCCGTGCGTGCTTGCTTCGCTCGCGCTCACGCACTCTTCTGCGCATGAGCAGAAGCATTTTGATGACGTTGGGATTGGTAGGCAGAGCCTCCCGCCGGTTTTACTACTGGTTCTATAGAACCAGTGCGAACTGGGGGCAACCCACCACTGATGCAGCCCCATGTTTCACAAGCCTACAATATGATGCCGTCCATCCAACAAATTGGATTACTTCTATATAAGAAATAATGAAGTTTGCCCATGTATGTTGCAGCATGTAATCAAGTTTCTCTAATCTCTGAATCAAGGACGATCAGGCCTCATTAGTACTTGGAGAGAGATCACCAGGAAATCCCAAGGTTACAAGTTAAACTGCCAAGAAAACTACATGGATCTTCCATGAAGTCATCAGGAGCTGACTTGAATGCCTATTTATTTAATGAAGTCCAGAGTGAAAGAAAAAATACTTCCCTTCCATTTGTATTAGTATTGAGTCTTAAAGATGTACGTGACAAAATTGAGCACGACAAACCTTGACACAAAGAGTTGTTAATGTTTAGTTTTGTTATAATGGATTAAGCAATCTGTGATTATAGCTTTTGTCAGTCTTGGGGAAAAGACCTCTAGTTGTGTGAATTTCAGCTCTCAGAATTTTCAGCATGGCCGTGCTACTTGGGGAATTCTGGGAGTTGCACAACGCATTCAGAAGGTGCTTCTGGGGAAGATGGAGCTAACAAATTCATTTTGATATAAATATTGGTTTTAAAAGTCTCTCTAATTCCAAATATGAAAGGTCCTTTCTGATGGGTTTCAGAACCGTAAATAATCCTGCAACTCTTTTCTTTTTAGCCACTGTGAACTGGATTTCTGATGGTTAGCAGCCATGAATGTCTTCCTATAGTTCATATTCTTTTCTCTTTCTCTCTGTGCAACAAGGTTAGACTCAAGATGCTCTACGCAGCAACCCGAGCAACGGTAAAGAAAGAGTTTGGAGGAGGACACATTAAGGATGAACTCTTTGGGACACTAAAGGTATGGCAGTTGGTCATATCCACTGAGATCAGAACAATCAGAGTCATAACTGTTGAAGTTTGGAGTCCTGCTTCTAAAAGCCAGACTAGAATTTATCATCTACTCATTTTGAAATGCTTGCTTTAAGATTGCAAGGATTCTGACTGCACAAAAAAAAAAAAAAGAACTTGTGCTGTGTCTTCTGTTTTGCCATATTCACAATTGCAGAATATGCTGAGTTTGAACCCTGATAAAATGAGTGCAGGGACTAGAGTACATGACTTGAGACATTGACGTAAGATAGATAAAGATGTGCACAAGGTGATCTGTTTGTGCCATAAGAGCAGAGGTGAGCACTTCTATCCTGTGGAAGATTGCTTGTCTCTCACCTGCTTTTCTTTTGTCCTTTCTGTTATTTTGTTTGTTTATAACATTCAGTTCAGAGGAAGCCTGGTCCCGAAGTAGTTTAGATTGCTTTGCTGACTATACTAATTCACTAAATTGGAAGGTAGAAATTGGAATGCATGCATTGCATTAAGCCCTTCCCTGCTCTAGTCTCTTTCCTCCAAATTCATATACAGTTTAGTTTAGTTTAGTTTATTCATACTTACATGCCGCCCTTCTCCCGAAGAACTCGAGGCAGCTCACAAAGATAAAACAACGGAACAATAAAATTAATACTAAAATAATCCAATTAAAATCCCCAAGAAGTTAAAACTAAGACTCCCAGCAGATCAGGCAATTTGTTGGAAAAGCCATGTCTTCAGGTCACCGCGGAAAGAGCGGAGATCGGGAGCCATCCAGAGCCCTGTGGGTAACCCATTCCAGAGGGTCAGTGCGCCCACAGAGAACGCCCTCATCCTAGGCGCCATCAGCCGACATTGTCTGGCCGAAGGCACCCGGAGGAGGGCAGTCCTATGTGAACACACTGGGCGGTGGGAGGCCAGTAGGAGGTGATCCTGCAAGTACCCCGTGCCCGTGCCATGGAGGGCTTTATAGGTAAGTACCAGCACCTTGAAGCGGATCTGAAGGACCACCGGTAACCAGTGCAGCTCGCGCAGGAGTGGTGTAACACGGGAGTAGCGGGAAGCCCCCGTAACAACCCGCGCGGCCGCATTCTGTACCAGCTGGAGCCTCAGGGTGCACCACAAGGGCAGCCCCATGTAGAGGGCATTGCAGTAATCCAAACGCAGGATAACGAGAGCATGAGTGACTGTACGGAGGGCATCCCTATCTAGGAAAGGGCGCAACTGGCGCACCAGGCGAACCTGTGCAAAAGCCCCCCTTGTCACAGCCATCAGATGATCCACGAAGGACAGCCGGGAATCTAGGAGGACGCCAAGATTGCGAACCTTTTCAGAGGGAGTAAGCAATTCCCCCCCACATCTGGAGTGATGGGGGTACTAGACCATGAGATGCCGGTATCCACAGCCACTCAGTCTTGGGTTGAGTCTGAGCCTGTTCCTACCCATCGAGACCCGCACCGCCTCCAGGCACTTAGACATCACAGAAAGGGCATCCCTGGATTGATCCAGGGTGGAGATGTAGAGCTGGGTATCATCAGCATACTGATGATATCTCACTCCGAAACTGCGAATGATCTACCCAGCGGCTTCATGTAGATGTTAAAGAGCAAGGGGGAGAGAACCGACCCCTGTGGCACCCCACAGCTGAGGGGCCTCAGGGAGGATCTCTGACCCCCCGCCCAAACAAATTGCGTACGGCCTGAGAGGTAGGAGGAGAACTACTGTAGAACAGTGCCCCCCACCCCTAGCCCCCCAAGTCGTCGCAGTAGGATATCATGGTCGATGGTATCAAAAGCCGCTGAGAGGTCAAGTAGGACCAGGATAGAGGAATAACCCTCATCCTGGGCCTGCCAGAGATCATTCACCAGGGCGACCAATGCCATTTCCGTGCTGTGTCCACGCCTGAAACCCGATTGGTACCGGTCTAGATAATCCGTTTCCTCCAGGAATTGTGGAAGTTGGTGTGCCACCACAGACTCAACAACCTTCGCTATAAAGCGAAGATTGGAGACGGGACGAAAGTTATTCAGGGTGGCTGGATCCAGGGTAGGCTTCTTGAGAAGGGGTCGAACCACCGCCTCCTTAAGTGCGGCGGGGAAGACCCCATCCCTCAATGAAGCGTTGACAATCGCCTGGATCCAGTCTCCGGTCACCTCTCTGGTTGCTGCAACAAGCCAGGAGGGACATGGGTCCAACAAAGATGTGGAGGCCCCCAATCTACCCACAATCCTGTCCACTTCATCTGTGGTTACAGGGTCAAAGTCAACCCAGATGTTGCCTTCAAGACTTGCTCCCATCTCCTCGTCAGGTATGATACATGTTATGACTGTATCATGTTATGATACAGTCATAACATGATAAGAAGAAAGGGAGAGTTTCATATTGTGGATTGGCACAAGTCTGGCTATTGAGTTAATGATTATCTAAATGCTTTGTATTTTGTCCAATATAAAATTTGACTAGCTAAACTCATTTTACATATTGTGCAGAAAACCCAGCAAAAATGCTTACAGACCTGGAACATTTTTGAAAGTGCCAGAAGGGGGCAGTGTTGTCCATCAAATGATAGTACATTAAATTATACAGTGAAATGTTTTCATGTCTCTCTGCAAAGCTCTGTTATTCAATATGATTTGTGAAATCCTCAAGCAGCTATCCTAGATCCACCATCTAGTAGAGTTCTTTTTATATTGCTTATTTACTGAAGTTAATAGGCCTCTGGATCAGCAGTCACCAACTGGTGGTCCGCAGACCACTGGTGGTCCTTGAGAAAATTTTGGTGGTCCACAGAAAAATTATTTGCATTTTTTTTATATTGCACTAAATACTATTTATCTTTTTAAAAAATTCATATTGGTTATGAAATTATGAATTTGGTGGACCCTCAGGTCCGAAAGGTTTGTGACCCCTACTCTTGATCAGTGAAGTCTCTTGGTGGCTTACAGTACTGTGTAAAACAAATGTAAAATCAAAGCCTACTAAAACCAGTAAAATTAATAAACTGAACATTTAATCAACAGTTAAAAGACATAAAGATGCATTATGAAGATTTTTTGAAAAGCTAATAAATTTGTTGGACTGCTCAACTCCAAGGGGAATGCATTTTAATGATGTAGAGCAGCAATAGAGAAGGGCCTGAAAATTCATCTTTAAAATGTTAGTGTCACCATCAGTCAAGTCCCTGGATGCTGAAGGCGAACCTCAGGTAGTCTCAAGAAGTATGGAGGAATAGCTTGAAAGTGGTATTTTTTCAGATCTCTATTGCCATGGAGAATTTTAAAGTAATGACCAGCAATTTGTATTTAGTCCAGAAACGAGTTAACACCAGTGCAGTGCAATAAACACAACTGTGATATGATTTCTTCACATTTTTCTCATAATCAACTTGGCCTCCCAATTTTGGATCATCCAAAGCTTCTAGTCTAGACGGCTTCAAGGCCCAACCCTGAGTGGATAAAGACAATCTTGAGGCAGCTGTAGGCAATCACCTCAGATGATCTCAGCAAGTGGAGATTCATTTAAGAAGATCCATTGAGAAATGTGTCATGGCACATTGACCATTATATAATGCAAGTCTAAGTGGTACCCATGACTTACAATGGCTTTCCTTCAGTATTCCCCAGCCTCCCTACTTCCATCTGATTTTTAAAAAATATTTAAAAATATCTTAATTTTTAAAAATGAATGGGAAAACTAATGTGTTACAGAGCACCAACCTCAAGCATAATTTGTCCTTCAGAGAAGGCTTCCTGGTCCTCATAGAGCTCCCAAGTACTTTCTTACAAAGTAAAAATTATAGAGCTCCAGCTCAGTCCTTTTTTTTGGAGCTCTTCCCTGCACCCCTTAAACAAAAAGAAAAGCTGAGATAATAGACCAGGGGTGTCAAACGCACGGGCTGGATGCGTCACACACTGGCCATGCCTATGCCTGGATTAGCGAAAGGGGGGGAGGGAGTCGCGATTCGTCATGTGATGCCGCCATGACGACGCGAGTTTGACACTCCTTTAATAGACAACATTTTGCAAGGCTAGAGTAGGTTGTAAAGAACAACTTTGTCAGTTTGCATTGGTTCGCACTTTTATGGCTAACCCAACCAATTAAGGCAGCCATTTTATGAATGTACCCTGTGTTCTACTTTGAACCAGTTTCATGCTTTTTGTGCGGTTGCTTTTCTGTTGGACCATAGGAGGACATCTCGCTCAGTGGCTACCAGAAGCATGTGTCTTCTTCCTCTGCTCCAGCTCCTCTGACCGCAGCCGAACAAGAGCTTCAGCAGATCCGCATCAATGAGGTAAGAAGAAAGTTTACTGAGCTGTTGATTATGCTACAGTTCTTTCTTTCCAATGTTAAAATTTTCCCTTGGTGCTTTGTGTGTAAAACTGTTACGGTGTCATTTAAAAGCCATGCATTTTTATTCAGGTGCAATTAGGAATAAAAGTTTGTTTTTGGAAGCTGTCAGATAGCCATAGTAGTGTTCGCGTTTTCCATTTGGAAGGAAGAGCTGTGCACTGCAGCTAGGAAAATGGGAAGTTCAAGGTGCTTAAAAGGGAGAGAAAGGCTTCTGAAGTAGAGGAATATGCTGGTTGATGCTGCCCATCTCTTTTCTTATCACTTTTCCTTCGGTGTTTCATTGATTCTTGGAGGGTGGGGGGGATTGTTTCTTTGCTTTTCCACCCTTGATCAATTCAGAGCATAGTTGTATGGGGGCAAATGCCAAGGCTTACAGCTATCATTTCCAAGGCAGTAGCTATCCTGTAAGTGACCTGCAATACTTCAGCATCCATGTTTTTCTTAATAATCGTGCTTTCATTGATTGATTGGTTTCAAGTATATCGCCCAATTCAAATGACTCTGGTGGTTAGGAGTAGGTAACGCCTGTCTTCCCAGTTACAAAGTACCACTATCTTGAATCCTGGAGAAATTCGGGTTTCCTCCAGAAATAATGGCTGGAGGAATAATATTTGATCTGCTTATCATAAAGGAGAGACAATGCTCATAAACCGATTTCCTGTTTTTAGTTGGGTGGCATAGGTTGCACGCTATTGAACATTCAGCTGTTTATGTGGTTATTTATTTGTTAGATATAGATGCCACGTTTCTTCCAAGAACACAAGTTAATTCCTAAAGCCTTCACTTAAATCTGGTCCTAGTCACATAATAGTTTTGCATTGGTTTGGAGGTTGTAATCACACATTAAGAGTAGAAAGTTGCAGCTAGTGCAGCTGTATGAAATCTGAACCAAAACATTCATGGTAAAAGGATAGCACAGTATTACAGCTAGTCCTCATTTAATGACCACTCATTCAGTGACTGTTTAGAGTTAACAAATGAGTGATACTTACGAACAGTCCTCAAACATCCAGCCACCGCAGCATCCTCATTGTCACATGATCATAAGATGGGTGCCTGGTACCTGATTCGCACTTACAATTCTGGCATTGTTCCACTGTTACATGATTGCCATTTGCAACCTGTCCTGTCCCGTTGTACTTGTGCCGGTTGGTAGAGAGTAACTTACTTACTGGAGCAACTTGCAACTTCTCCATTGACTTTGTTTTTGGAAAGCTGGCAGGGAAGGTTGCAAATGGGAATCATGTGATTGTGGGATAATGGATGATGCAGTGCCTCATGGGCTGTTCATGCAGCAGCCATCCCCAATCCCATTGCACTTGTATCACACCTCGCACTGTGCCTGGCCTGCCAGTTCGCTTGCAAGCTGCCTGCAATCCTCGCTTAACGACAACAACCTCAAGTGCGGGGATTGCCATTGCTTAGTGTTGCGGTTACATGATGTTGTGCTTTACGACCACATACTTAGTGATGGAAGTTCAGGTCCAGTTACCATTGTTAACCAAGGACTATCCGTAGTTCATACAGATTTGAAGTATTTGCAAGGCACACCTGATAGCATTTTTCCAGTATTGCACAATATCGGAGACCTCATATAGTGTTTTTTCCTGTCATTTCCTGAATTAGTTTTTGAAGTATTGAGTTTTATTTGTTCCCTTAATGCGATTTGTACATTGAGTTGAATAATGTTTAACCTGCCGGGTCTTAACTGTAGGACTTTCATCTCCCTCTGGCACATGATTATCAAGTCAGAAGATGATTTAGCAGCCGGGGTGAGATTGCTGCTTGTGTGTTTCCATTTGCATTTATTGGCCCAAGCTCTCTGTGAGGTTTTCATCTCCTACCGAAGCGGATGATTAAGAACCCTGAAAGCGAGCAGAAAGAAATTTCTCTCAGTTGCTTGTGCGGTAAATTTATAACTGTGGTAACAATTGACTGATGTTATGTATGAGCTTTATATCCCACCTCTTCCCCACGATCCCGTTGTGGTGTAGCATTCTTGCCTCCATTATATGTGATATGTGACCCAGCCCTTTCCAGGAGATGCTGATCATATTGCCATAAAATTGGTGGAGCCTGTGAGCTGCCAGGAGACTCAAGGTTTTGACTGAGGGATATGGACAGAGGTGGGACACGAGTCCCCACATATGCAAACCATAGGAATAAGATTTTAAAGCCACCATGGCTATGCTGTCTTTGAGAGAAAGTGAAGGATATGGAAATGGAAGAAGGGCTTGTTGACTGAAGTACAAAAGATAGAGACTGAAAGTGACTGAGGTAAAATAGTAATGTTTCTAATCAGGAAATATTACTATTTCTTTCAAGTCAAGAAACAGCATATTGACCAAGTTACCCAAAGCAAAATCTCTTAAATTGAGATATAGCAGTGAAAGCAACATAAGTCTTGTCCTACCTGTAACAAGACTGAAAAGGACTTAAAAGTTCTGGGGGTGCTACTTCGACTGGAGCTGGAGTAGGCCAGGGATGGATTTGGGCATTATTATTTCTGAATTCTCCCAAATAATTCACTCTTGCCTCGTCCTTGTGGGTTACTTGCCAAACCCTGAACTTGGAATATTTGCACGAATTCACATTGGAGATCAGGTGGAAAGCTAAGAGTTATTCATTGGGAAAGATACTAGCTTAGAGAGCAGTGTGCCTACTTCTCTTTGGGGAGGGGGGTGCAAATCCTTTTTGGGCACTGGGCCTAAAAGCATATCTCTTTCACGTGTTTCCGTAATCTGAATCTGTTGAACTAGCCTGTACCAACTGTCAACCTAAATATTACTAGCGAGGGAGAACAAAGCGTCTTTATAGAGAGATCAGCCTTCCATCAGACCTGCACACATCAGGTGCAGCCAAATAGCCTATTTGGGCCCCCAACTGAGTGTGCAGCACTCCAGCCCTGCCTCCCCTCCCTCCCATTCTGCAGCTTTCTTTAAATATGACAGGCCTGGAGCTTAGCTTCCCACCGCCACTTCTGCATGGCTGAGCGATTCTGATAGGTTGCGAAGAGAATCCCTTTCGGTTTATGGCTCCATTTCTGGGTCACCCTGCTTGTGATCCAGTGTCACTGGCGGCAGATGAGACAGACATCCGTTTTATTTTAGAGGATGCTCAGAAAATTGATTATCTTGCATGAAGCCTGAATAGACAGCCCGGGTTTTTGCATTCTGTCCTCACGTTTGATGTGTAGGAATTGGCCTCAATTAGATCAGTATGAATTCACACACCACGTTAAAGTGATCACCTGCTTTCTCTGATTTGGGCCTGTGGATCCTGGCATGGTTGGGTGTAAACTATGGACTGTAGTGTAGTACCGTTATATACTTATGGATGTGAAGAAATCATAGTTAAGGCCAGTTTGGGGCAGCCAACTTCCATTTCTCCTTGTTAGGACGCTACTCTGAAGTAATTAAGGGTTGCCTAAGATAGGCTCTGGCAGTTTAGCTTAGTGCTGCCCGCAGGTTTCTTAAGCCATCAGGAAAGATTTTTTGCTGACCTGAGAACTAGGCCCAATCTTCTAGAGCAGGGGTCTCCAACCTTGGCAACCTTAAGCCTGGCTGGGGAATTCTGGGAGTTGAAGTCCTCCAGGCTTAAGGTTGCCAAGGTTGGAGACCCCTGTTCCAGAGTTTGCACCAGAAACTCTTGCCTTGCTCCATTCTGTTTTCTGGACTAATCCTACTTTTAACCAGGTCAGAGCAGCCATTTCTCATAAAGCTCACTCCAGATTAGATGGCCAGTTAGGATTACACCCAGAGCCTCAACTACATTGTGCTGGTTACTCTAGATGCATTTTTCAAGGGGCAAACTGTAAGATGGCTATGCCATCCCAACCATGATGCCTTACTCTGAGAACCTCCTTGGACTGTTGCTTAGAGAGCAGCCGGTCAGCCAGCCCAAGGCCAAGGGACATGTTGCCGCTTCTGAAAAATGAGTATGCACAAGGGAGTGGTGGGTCCATCTCAACTGGCAGGTCCTCTTGAAACTTTCTGCTGCTCCTCCAGTATGACAAAAAGCAAGGTCCAAACTCACTTGAGACCACTTTGCTGGTAAACTCATCACCTGAAACTTGTTTTAATTTTGGTTTGATTGAAATGGATTTCTGCCTCTGCCTTGTGGGATAAAACAGGGTTTCTATGTGTTTCTATGGTATGCTTTCTGTCATTTCTTGCTCTTCTATTTCCTTGAGGGAAGTACAGTGTTTAAATTATGTTATGCTTGTGGAATGTGTCGCTTTTGCCACTGATTTAATAGGTGCTAGCTTCATCAGACTTTCAAACCTCTCCAAGGGCCTTAGAGTTTTTCTTTCTTCCTTCTTTCTTTACTTCCTTCCTTCCTTCCACCTATCTATCTATCTATCTATCTATCTATCTATCTATCTATCTATTTATCTATCTATCTATTTATCTATCTTCTATATCTCAATCATTAGAGACTCTCTAGGTATCTTTTATTCACACGTTTATTATACCTGTTTCCCCGAAAATAAGACATCCTCTGATAATAAGCCCAATCGGGCTTTTGAGCGCATGGGCTAAAATAAGCCTCCCCCCCAAAATAAGTCCTCCCCAAAAATATTTAAACACAGAGCTGGAAATCAGGTAAGACGGCAAGAGGAGCCCCATCTTGCTCCAAGCACCCCAAAATAAGAAGACCTCCCCGAAAATAAGGCCAAGCTCTTATTTCAGGGTTCAAAAAAATATAAGACAGGGTCTTATTTTCGGGGAAAACACGGTAGCCTCAAATACTAGTGCTAAACTCAGGCTTAGTTGAGCTGTCCAGGCATGGTAGCATTACATTTAAAAAATTTGCCAGGTTTTCTGATTTCACAGAACAATGTAAGGAGCAGTTTCTAACCTTTTTTTTTTAAAATAGCGACTATTCCATCAACTTAAAACTTTTTCAAGACAATCACATAAATTGGGAATAAACCTTATA